CTGTGGTAACACAAGAATATGTCTTACGTACCAAAAAACGTGACAGTGTTACATATTAAGCAGGCGGATAATAAATGGTATCGGTAGAGCACTATTCTGATAACGATCAGTTCTGCTGCGGGGAGTGTTCAGTCTATTATAAGCTGATCTGGTTTAACGACAACTTATTTAACTTCTAACAGGTGGCACAAAATACTAGAACTGTTCAGACTGTTTCAAGTAGTTCACAGAGTTCTTAGTCAGGTGAAGGCGTATCATTCTAGCCCTTGTTGTAAGATGTAAGAATTTTGTTTTCCACCACCGAGAAAGCTCTAACCTTGCCCAGTTTTATCTGGACGTGGGTTTAAGTTTGTATTTCCCTTTCACATATTACAGTTTACTGGGTAAATTGTAACATGGGCAAGAAAAGTAGGCTTGAGCATTTTTTTTTTACAAAAGAGGGTAATCTACTGAAAGTAACGACACCGTACCACTACTGAAAATAGATTTGGTTATTATAGACGTCCCTCAACGTCCCTTGTATTGGATGTTAAATTTAGGTCCCGTATTTGGGGTATAGCTACACCCCACGCACGTTTAAGAACACATCACAATTTTATAAACAGTGCAGGGGACCTTCCAATGTGAGTGGTTAAAACCTTTCAGTCATATGGTTGCATCCGCAACCTGAGTTACTGCCGATTGGCAGCTTCCCCAAACACTTCCAACTAAGCCCTACGTATAATAATCGCAAGCTCCTCACAATTTAGCCCTTGTCTGCTTGGAGAGAGTAACTGGCAATCCCAATAACAATAACAGATCATTTTCATCAGATAAAGGCCTTACCACATCCCAGTTCATCTGGTGGAGGGATGTAGCCTCCGAAGCGGAAAAAAGTGCAGTCAGGATGCCCATCACAGACGATGTGTGACTCTCTACATTCATTTGTTTCTCCACAGAAGAAGCCCCCGTTGTCATTACAATACTCCTCTATAACGAAAAGAGACAATTCAAAACAAACACATGCTATCTTGATCATACTTCTCAAAGGGCCACATAATTATCCAGATGAAGTCTTCATTGGCATAATATGCATCTATTTATGTACATGTCTCTCTAAGCTACCGACAAACTAAAAATGATGAAAATATGTTGTTCCTATCTGGACTTATTTGGCCATACCACTTTTTCCTGACAAGACAATCTATTTGTCACCAAAAAGTCAAGACCATAGCATGTTAAGGGTAAAAGATACTAAAACCGGAGGTTCTGCTGCAGTACCAAGGTCAGCCATTAGGAGGCCCATATTTGACCTTGACCTTTGTCTTTCTAAGACCTATCAACATACCAAATATCATCACAATCCATAAAGGCGTGTTTGAAATTATGCTGACCACAACGTTGCGGAAACAGACAGACAGACAGACAAATACGCTTAAAAAAAACAATACCTCAATTTTTCATGGAGGTAACAAAAAAAAACGACCAAGTACCGCAGTTTTCTTCGTCATCAGCGCAATCGTAGGGAGACCCCGGGACATAACACATCGGGCGACCATCACATCGGTCCTTGGGGAGGTGACATTTCGTCAGCTGGCCACACTCACACCTCAAGCCCCCGATAGATTCGCAGAAATCGTCTGTTTTTACAAGAAAAAATACAACACATCATGCATGTCATAACTGTTTTACGTCGAAGAACCCTTTGTTATAAGGGAACTAGTGATACCTAGCCTTAGTTCACAATGAAACAGCAACACCTAGCTAGCTTACTAGTGTACTGCGAGCCAGTAACACATTGTTTCATTGTACAGTGAACCAGTAACACGAAGCTTCAGTTAAAACTTAACACGTAACACCTAGCTTCAGTGCACATTGAATCAGTAACGCCTAGCAAACAGTGAACCAGTGACACCTAGCTTCAGTGCACAGTGAACCAGTAATTATAACACCTAGCTTCAGTGCACAGTGAACCAATAAAGCCTAGTTTGAGTGTACCATAAGCCAGTAACACCTAGCTTCAGTGCACAGTGAACAAGTAACACCTAGCTTCAGTGCACAGTGAACCAGTAACACCTAGCATCAGTGCACAGTGAACCAGTAACACCTAGCGTTAGTGTCCAGTGAACCAGTAACACCTAGCTTCAGTGCACAGTGAACCAGTAACACCTAGCTTCTGTACACAGTGAACCAGTAACATCTAGTTTCAGTGCACAGTGAACCAGTAGCACCTATTTTCAGTGCACAGTGAACCAATAACACATAGCTTTAGTACACAATATGGACCAGCAACACCTAGCTTCTGTACACAGTGAACCAGTAACATCTAGCTTCAGTGCACAGTGAACCAGTAGCACCTATTTTCAGCTTTAGCTTTAGTACACAATATGGACCAGTAACACCTAGCTTCAGTGCACAGTGAACCAATAAAGCCTAGTTTGAGTGTACCATAAGTCAGTAACACCTAGCTTCAGTGCACAGTTAACCAGTAACACCTAGCTTTAGTGCACAGTGAACCAGTAACACCTAGCTTCAGTGCACAGTGAGCCAGTAACGCCTAGTTTGAGTGTACAATAAGCCAGTTGACAAGCAGCACCTAGCTTCAGCTCACAATAAGCAGGACAAAATGCTATCCAATCGTTTAGTTTACCATTCCTGATAAAATCATTTAAGGATTACTTACCACAATGTTTTTCGTTCTCGCCGTTTGCACACTCGATTCGGGTATTACAGACTTGTTTGGCACCGCTCAGGCAGGTGTTCTCTCCCGGACATTGCCAGTCATAAACACCAGTACATGAATATGGCAGTCCTAAAACATGTGAGAAGTGTAGTACACGGTAAGTCCTAAAGTGTACATTTTGAAATGTACATTTAGATAATGCATTTATTTATTCTACTTACATTTTTGAATGACATAACAGATGCACAAGTAACGTATACATAACTAAGAAAACCATTAGTAAACACCAGCACATGAATATGGAAATCCTATAACATTTGAGTGTAGTACACGTTCAATCCTAAAATATACATTTTAAAATATACATTCATATTATACATTTATTTATTCTATTTACATTTTTGAATAAAATAAGAGAAACACAAGTTCACATAACTAAAAAAAACTTCGCAATGGAGGCCGACTAGATAAATATGCCTCCCATCAATTTATTGCAAACATCAAATTTAACAAGTCTAAAGAAGTAAGGTAATAAGTAAGTAAAGCAGTATAATGGAAATACAGTACGAGAAAACGTCGCCATGATCATGCGTGTATCATATTTAAGTATAAAGGTTTACAAAAAAATTAAAGTTACAAAGTATGTTAGATCAGTTTTCTAATTTATTTGAACCATCTAGGTTCAATTACAAGAATACAAGGTACACCAAAAAAGATAGAAAACCATAGAAGATCACGATCTGATTAATAAACAGTTTTAAAAGCTGGTGTGTTACGCCGAAAGGCGGTTATACCGGCTATACAGATACAGATACAGAATATCAAACAGAAAAGTTTTCAAAAAGACATCCACTGCATAAAATCCAATATCTAAGCATACTTTTAAGCATGCGCAAATGTTTCTTACCTTCAGCTGTCTAAAGCGGATCATTTACTCATAGTTTGATTTTGCTCTATTATCGGATTTCATGTGAGCGTTATTTGTCTAAATGTCGTACCCTGGGAGCAGTCGACCTCGTCATGTGATCCTTCGGGTAGCCCATCACAAATGTCCTCCGACTGGAGACAGGAGTAATGAACCATCCCCATACTGTCAGTCGGCAGGTCAGATACTTCATTAACCCTACCTAGACCGGGGGGGGGGGCTAAAAGTGCCCGCGGCAACTTTGATGTCACCTAGCGTCTGAACGGCTAGCCGTAGAACGGCCAAACTTGGTGACTTTTCCTAGAATATTGTTGGCAACAATTCTCTAACATTGGATTAAGATAATGATTTTTTGTGTTGCCATGGCAACGGGTTTCTGACAGGCATTTTTTGCTAAATTTAGTACTTTTTGTTTCAACAATAGAATTTTATGGGTTTTATGTCAAGTTACTCATGGTTTCTAATATTAATAACACCCCATATAATTTTATGTAAATTTTATCATTAAATATGCATAATTTATGCTAATTTGATGACGTCATTGGCCAAAAATCCAAGATGGCGGACCATATCATTAGAACAGGTATATACAGGTTATTTTCATTAAAATTTCATCAATACTTCCATTTCTTTTTCCAAAAAGGTTTAAATGAAGGCCTTTAGTATGTCTACGATGTATTTTAGGCTTTATCATGAAAAAAAACTATTTTTGAAAATTCAAGATTGATGATCCAAGATGGCGGATATCTTAAATATGCATGACGTCATGTTATGACGTCACCGGTGTTGCTATGGGCAACATAAGACTTAGTACACCATAATATTCTGTCATAAACACTTTTGGTACAGTTATGTTGAATACCATTGAGTTTTCAGGGAAAAACCTATTTAGACGGTTTTGGCCAATAAAATCACATTAATGACGTCATAATGACGTCATATTACATCATAACGACATAAAAATTGTAGATATGATAAATTTTCACTAGTACACCATTCTCTGAAAATTTGGTGGTCATACGACATACCGTTCGCGAGTTCTTAGGGGGGGTCAAAAGAGCCCCCCCCCGGTCCCCCCATGTCAAAAAAAGCCCGGTCTAGGTAGGGTTAAACTCGAAAGTTGATATCGCTTGAGGTCCGCAGAAATCTTGTTAAAAAGTGCAAACAAATTTGAAATGAAAAAACACACACACACACAAACACACACACACACACAACTGGGTTTTCCATCATACGTGTTACATCTTACAGATCAGTCGATTTAAAGTTGTTTTTGGTGATCTAGATGAACCACCTCTGTCAAATATTGTTATTTTGTTGGGTAAGCAATTCATTATTAAACATCGAAAGTGGTCACATCACTTAATAAATCATTTTACTAGTTATGTTTCCTATTTTTTTCAATAGACATTATTATTTTTAGAAGACAAAGTAAAACAAAAAAAAACATGTTTGGAAATGGGGTTAATTATTGGGCTTAAAATAAATAAATAAGCAATAAAATGAATTTGAAAAACAGAAACAAATTTCAATTCTTTTAGCAATATCGATAAAACATAATAATTTAATGGCAACAATAATATCTCGAGGCCATCTAAGTTTCTAATCCAGTAATAATTAAATTAATTAAAAACACTATATTTTTTTACAATTTGAGTCCCCTGGACTCAATTCCTAACTTGTGCTTTGTGGCCTTTTTTAAAACTATTTCCTTAATATTATTCACAAAGCTGTCGTGCGATTGTAATAAGATTGGTTTTCTATACGTTTTCAATGTTTTTGTCCCTCATGAAAGTTATAATACCCTCAGAAATAACATCAACCATTTCAACCATTGTAGACTGTTGGAAATGGCAACGGCCGTTTACGAAACAAAGACACGAGTTAGACACAATAAAGATTGCTTATTTAAAAATATAATTGCAAAGATCATCTTTGCTACAAGAATTAAGTTTATTTTTTATTACCACAGCCGATCTCATCTGAGAAGTCCACACAGTCCACCACCATGTTACATCTATCCTGCCGATTGATGCATGTTGGAAATGGAGGGTTCGATGATTGACAGCTCCAGTAGCCAATAGACTGGCAGGACTCAACTTGATTTGGAAAAATAGCAAACGTAATTTATGTCGTGCTCGATGACTGACAGCTCCAGTAGCCAATAGACTGACAGGACTCAACTTGATTTGGAAAAAAGGCAAACGTAATTTATGTCGTGTTCGAAAATTGACAGCTCCGGTAGCCAATAGACTGGCAGGACTCAACTTGATTTGGAAAAAATGCAAATGCAAATTTAGCCCGTCTAAATACTACCAAAAATACCTGATATTTTATTCTAGCCCTAAAAATAGGAATAAATCATAAGGATGGATGGTAAATTGCAAAGAATAAAACAGGTACAAACATTAATTAATTTCTAAAGTAAGCTTATTAATTGTATTATTTACTTATCAATTAATCATTTCTGGAGTTATACGACCTCAAGCGTTTGACAAATCATATCAGCATGTAAATCTCGCGTAACGAATAGGTTTCAAATTAATGGCGAAGATGACTTTCTCATTTACATACATTTTATTTATTGAATATCTTTCTTACCGAAATAGAATGGGTTGTCTAATGTATTAAAATGGATATCTGTTTTCACAGATGGGTATATTAAAGCAATTTCTTATCAAATCCTCATTAATTATATAAATCAGGAACTACTTTATGTCAATAACCAAATAAGCCATTTACATACCAAATTTCTCTTTATATTGTTTTAGTTTCGCCTTGAGTTAAAAAAAACTCAATCTTATAATTGCAGCCGCAGTTCCGAAAAAGCCATCGGGCGACCAACATGGCATTTTTACGATCCCAGGAGCTATTCACCATAAAACGTGTGGTCGTGTGGCGCAGTCGGTAGCGCGTTCGACTCACACCCAAGAGGTCCCGAGTTCGAATCCTGCCCATGTCACCGATCTTGTGCCCTTGGGAAGGGCATTTTACACGACTTTCCTCACTTCACTCAGGTACCGGTGGAAATGAGTACCTAGCTTCGGTTAGAAACGTCCCTCGGATAGGACGTAAAATGAAGGTCCTGTGTTTGGGAATAGCCACATCCCATGCACTTTAAAGAACCCCCCGCAACCTTACGTAGCTTGTACATTTTTCGACATTTACAAAACTGGTGTATTACGCCTAAAGGGGGTTTCCCGGTAATGCGAAACAAACGTCTTTTGCCGTTTATTTTGTCAACAACTGCGCATAGATCAAATATAATCAGCACGTATCCACGGCTTCTAGAGTTATGTTGTCTACAAGCAAGCAAATCACGAACACCCACTATATAAAAAAACACAATGCCACACACACAAACACACACACACACACGCACACACACACACACACACACACACACACAAGCAAACAAACAAACACAAACTAAACATAGCCTTCTGGGCGAAGGTAACAAAAGGAGTCTTACCACAATTCTCTTCGTCCGACCCGTCAGCGCAGTCCAAAATCCCGTTACACAGGAACTCTCCTTTCACACAACCGGAGGAATTACGGCACTTCCAGTACGCAATGTCACCGAAGGACCCATGAAGAGCGCAGACTTTCTCTTTTTGGAAAAGATAAAACATTACAGACATTTTAAAGATAGCTGTGTGTAAAAATTTCTAAATATTACAGCTATCAAAAGTCCAAACCTAGGAACATTTTGTGAGAAAAAAAAAAGCATAATATGAAAGGGAACAAAATGCATTAAAAGATTAAAGGTAATCATAAGAAACAATTACTAATTAAATTTATATATTGTCTAAAACAGCCCAAACGAGTCCAGGCTTAGAAATGTTAGCTCTAAATATATAAAACATAAAAACCTTAAATTCTTAAGAAACCAGATTGACGTAACACCTTTATACTTTTTTATTGTTTCATTGTTCCTTCAAATAAGGCTATAATAAGCATAATTCATTTTAATTCAAACTGTTCTCAACCCAAATCATATATGTTTATATGTGAAATTCTTATCTCTTGGGAATGTTTTGTTGAAATAATCTACTATCTACTATGCAAATCATCCTAACATTGATGATATAGATACATTTGGAAGACAATGACCCGGATTAGAATACCTGTTGCGATGTTGTATACCGAATTCCCAAACGCAGCCCATTCCAAAACATGTTTTGGAATAAAATGCTTTGGAATGCAACGATGCAAATCATTGCTGGATTCTTACCTCAGATAAATTTCATTTTCATAATTGTTTTGTGTGGGCAGTCATGAAAAAAAAGTTTAATATCTTGATTTGATTTGATGAGATTGCAAACAAATACAATACTCGTGGGCCACACACAAAACAATTATAAGGCCACACCAAGTAAATTTTACGGATGACGTCCTTTGGAGACCCTAAATCTAATGCGAGAGGGCGAAAGAAAAAAAAAAACAAGAAGGGCCCTAAAAACAAGATGCCTAGATTAGAAATATACTAAGAGACAAAAAAATGTTAGGACACAAATTGAATGAGGTGACACAGTGTAACAAGCAAGAAGTCTTTTATTCATCATCAAAACAGCAATAAATCAGGTGTAACAGCAGTTGTCGTCCTGTCCTGTTTCTTTCATCACATTTTTGCAGGCCTGCAGAAACAAAGCATGTGCTCTTTACCCATTTTGCGTTACGGGTTTCACTTCAATCTACCGATTTGTGGCACTGTTGTGACTCTTTGGTCATAGCTACAGGAAGCGGAGTTTCTTGTTTTTGTAGGAACAGGCCAAAATCAATGCGCGCGCGGACGTCATCCATAAAATTTACTTGGTGTGGCCTAAGCACACAAACAAGACACACACTTAAACATAAACAATATAAGTACATAAAAATTACAAGCATAGATTCGAATTTATCTTCAAAAATGTCTCTGCGGTCTGACTAGTAAAAGGCTAATGTGGTACGACTGACCAAATGCATGGCGAGTCCATAGCAATGAACCCTGTGTTACATATATAACAGCGATAAACTAACAGGCAGGTCATCGTTCTAGCGGTAGTTTTTCCAAAGTTAATCATGCGACAATTTGCTGAATAAAACGCTTTAGATTACGGAATGCAAGAAGCGGATCATACGTTGGGAAACACGAAAAGATCCCCGTGTCTTTTGCCGAGTCTTTCCTTTAGATAAACTAAAAAAAAATTAAGTGTTACTTTTTTTTGCAATGAATCGTTATAATTTGCTTATTAAAGAAAATTACGGTTTGATTGGTGTATAGTTAATGTTATTATTCAACGCCCAAAATCAAGTGACCTCAGTGTCATCTCCATAGCAGCGACCCGTGCCATATATAACAGTTGCATAACAACTGCCAGGTCATTGACCGATCGGTCGTTTTTGAGAACTGGAGCATACGTCCATTCGCCGCCATAGCAAGTTAGTAGAGCGTCCATAGAGTGGACTTTGCTTGTTTGTCGTAAATGGTCGTCATTGTTTACTAATGTCTTTACATTTCAGGCCTTTCAGGTGTGGAGACTAACAAGCCAGCTGCTTAAGACTTGTCTAAAACTCTGGTCACGTTCGCGTAGCTGTATTTTTAGACAGCACCCTGGTCGTTATATAACAACACCATGAAGACTGGACCGCAGTACGTACTGTTGTGTGTGTTGGTAAGCCTGGCAGTTCACGGAATCAGCGCGGGGAAGGTTCTCGTGGTACCGCCGGCAATAGAGGGCAGCCACTGGTTCCCTCTAGCGTCAGTCGGCCAGGCGTTAGCGGGGAGAGGGCACGAAGTCACCGTTGTTGTCTCGGAGGACATCGTGGCCAAACGCCGCGCGGAGAAACCTGACCTGCGGTTCGAGCCGTTCTATGACGGGGGCAGCCGTGCTCGGGTGGAAGCCAACACAGGCCAGATGAGCAACGTGTTCAACAAGTCGGTGTTCAGTTTAATGCAAATTCTGAAAGGTGTGATCGACTCCTTGGCACAACACTGTGATCTCCTGTTAGGGGATGCTGATTTGATGGGGAGGCTGAAAGAGGAACGTTTTCAAGTTGTGGTAGCAGAGCCCTTCTTTTGTCAATGCGGGGCCATAGTCGCGGCTTACCTGGGCGTCCCCCACGTCGCCCTCCTACGAGGTGACCCATCGGGACTGGACGCCCTCGCCACAGGTGTGCCCCGCCCCCCGTCTTACGTACCATTTTTCAGCTTCTGGACTGGTTTTACCGATAAAATGACTTTCTTACAGCGAGCAAAGAACGTCGTGGTGTCGCGTGTAGCTCCCCTGGTGTTTCAGTGGGTCGTGGGACGCATCAACTATGACCTGCTGAGAAAGTACCTCGGAGAGGAGGAGACTCTCTTGGGGGTTTTGGCGAAGACGGACGTGTGGCTGTATCAAACTGACGTTCTGCTCGACCTGCCGAGTCCGAGGATGCCGAACATTGTCGACGTGGGAGGGATAGTCGCCAAACCCGCCAAACCGCTTTCAGAGGTTGGTGCGCGTGAGCGATTATCTGTATGTGTGTCACGGTATGTGTGTGTCTGTATCTGTATCTGTATAGCCGGTATAATCGCCTTTCGGCGTAACACACCAGCTGTGTGTGTGTGTGTGTGTGTGTGTGTGTGTGTGTTTGTGTGTGTGTGTGTGTGTGTGTGTGTGTATCTGTGCATGTAATGTATGTGTGCGTTTGTGTGCACACGCCTGTTTGTCCCTGTGACTATGTATGTGCGTACGTATATGTTTTTGTCTGTGCTTTTTTTGTGTATGCATGTACATGTATGTATGCATGTGACCTTTTTTATGTGCGCGTATGTGTGTGTGTGTGTTTATGTGTGTGTCACAATTCCTCACAAATATGCATGCATGTATATAATTGTGAGTGAATCTGGCTGTTTCTGTGTCTTTATATATGTATGTAACCCATTCTATGTATTTTTAAATACACTTTAATTTACTTAAAAGTAAATTAAAGTGTATTTCTGCGTGGCGAAACACACTTCTCCCAAAGAGTAAAAACATACTAACTATTAGAAGCACGTTGCACTACTAATCAACCCACATCATCCCCCCGTAACAGGATTTAGAACAGTTCATGCAGAGTTCCGGCAGTGATGGAGTCGTAGTGGTCAGTTTCGGGTCACAGGCCAAGACTATCAGCCTGGAAAGGTCAGAGGTCATGGCAGCAGCCTTCGCGCGGCTCCCACAGAAGGTTGTGTGGCGGTACACGGGAGAGAAGCTGGCCGGGTTAGGCAACAACACAAAGACTATGAGCTGGCTGCCACAGAACGACCTACTAGGTAGGAGATCATCACTCTATTTTTATTTTTTTAATTTTTTTTTATTTCATCTTATAAACACCTGGGTAGCCTTTCAACAGTAAGATTCTTGATTTCCAAAAGGGACCAGGGACACATAAGCAATACAACTGTAAACATATATTGTGGTGGGACGGGACATTCAATCTGGCTCACGATATATTTTGAAAAAAAAATTATTTGGCAAGTTTTGCTCAGAAAGAGCCAGTTTTCTAGTAATTAGGCTACACCGACTTAATTCTATGGATGACATCCGCGCGCGCATTGATTTTCGCCTGTTCTAAAACAAGACTTTTGCAAAAAGTTTATCTCGGCCGCTGCCCATGGCAGTGTCCCGGTGAGTTTATTTGTAATGAGTGTAAGAGCACCTCCTGGCATTAAAGCAAGAAACTTAGCCTGCCATGCACTAACATAATGTTAGGTCGCACGAATTCATACATTTTTACGTTCAATGGGGGGAGGGGGGCGATAACGTAACTCTGTTTAAATCTGTTCAACAGCACGAATAAAACACAATGTAATTGATTGCCCTTGCCCGTAGTATCTTTAGCTCTATTTTTATCCTATGGCTCTATGCCTAATACCCTTATAATTCCTGATATTTTGCTATTTTTGCTAAGTATGCCCTTACCAGCCTCATGCGTTACATCCGAGCCTCATGCGTTATTCACCAATCAAAAGCGACATCTTGCGACTTAGGCAAATATGCCAGCTAATGAACATAATTTATGTCATTGATTTATTGGTCCAATTACAGCAGCTATTAGCGAAATTCTAGAACATTAAATGCATACTATGATATAAAACAATGGTTTTGTGGTAAACAGCATTTCCTCTTTTTTTAGCAACTTCGTTGTATAAGAATAACGACACTATCATCCGGTAGGTCGACGCCACAAAGTAAAGTATACATGCAGAGTAATTGGTTTCATTGGTTTTCACGGTCGAAATCAAGATTTATTCAACGACCATCCAAGGTACAAATGTCTGTCTTTTATGTCATTATTTTATTTTGATGTGTCAAGTTGGCAGGAGTGGGTTGGTGGGAGCACTTGGACAGTAACCTGTCGTGGGTAGCTTGGCACATCCTTTTTCTATTCCCCTTCCTTTGTCTATGTCTCTGTCACGTCGAAAAGTTGAAAAAAAAAGAAAATAGTTAAAAAACCTCCTGTCTCTCTTGTCTAGTTTTCACTCTTTTTTGATTTTGTTATACCCCAATTAAAAACGGGTACCTATTTTGGGGCACAAAAAAAAAGATCACGTCCACCGAAGCCCTAGGCCTGGGTAGCCCATGGTAGTTAGCGACAAATACGAAGCCGGCACCCAGGCTACCGACTGGGTGCCAGCTCCACGACTCAAGAACTCAGTACATACGTGCAGTGCCGATTCATAAATTCCGTAAAGAGACTGTATGTGCCAGCTGGTCGCTAAGTACTGCCGCAAATTCACAATACCATCTTTGTATTCCTGTGGCTTAGTAGCATTTTGGCCGGAATTTTTTTATTCGCTCGCTCGCACTAGTTTGGGGGTCTTCAGAGAATGCCATCCATAAAATTAAGTCGGTGTAGCCTTAGGAGAAAAGAATGTAAATTATTTTGCCGACGTGCTGGATTATCTAATTTTGTGTAATGCTGACAGTGTCCGTTCACCATGGTGAATGCAAAGTCTTTCTTTATTCAAGGGCAACAATACTAGCTACCAGCTGTTAAGGAGGTCATGTAACAAAATAGTGAGAGCTACCAACTGCAGACTCAATAAATGACAACCTCTGGGGCAGACTGGTCCCACCTGTATGATAAGGGGAATGCGGTAACACAGCTTATAACTATATATTACAACAGTTGGACCTTGAAGATCATTTAGACAATGCTGGTTATTTTGCAGGTCACTCGAAAACCAAAGCCTTTGTTACCCATACGGGGGCTAACGGTATGTTCGAGGCCCTGTACCACGGCGTGCCCATGGTTTGTACGCCTCTGGGTGCAGACCAGCCCGGTAACGCCGCTCGGGTGGTCTCCAGAGGCCTGGGAGTGAGGCAAGACTTCAACACCTTCACACCAGACACACTGCACCAGGGTATTGTGCAGGTTCTCACTGATAAAAGGTGTGATAGCAAGTTATCATGACACGCACTTTTTTTCGTACGTACACGCACGTATTTTAGCATAGTGACACGCACGTTTTTCAGCATAATGCATTACTGTAAGTAACCGCTAGGTAGCGCTGTGGCAAGAGCGACAGAACGTCAAAACGAGTACAAGAACAACATGCGATGGTCATGACGTCACGAAAGGCAAAAAGTGGTTGACAGTTGGCTGATTTGCCTACCAATAATTTGCATATGTCTCTAAATATTTTGCATGTGTATAATTAAAAACAGCAAGCGCTTCAATGATCAATTGCTAGTAGATAGAAGTAGAAGCTTTTTTGCCTAAAGTATTGAAAGCATACCCGTACACACATAACAACTGTCCTTGGTGCTGAATGATAAATACAACATGTACAGAATAGTATTTTTATTCATTTTTTATTTGTCTTATTATTAGATTTCTTTGCCATCTGGTAATATTATGTTTTAGTTAATTAGGTTATACTATTAAATGCATCTAGTGCAGTTCTATGGACTTAGAAACCTGATTTTTCAAAGGCAATATTCTAGTCATTTATCTACATACTGAGTTGATACTACATTATCCCACTCCCCCTCATGGAACAAAAATACTCTGACGGAAAAATGGCTACTAGAAGGGCCCTTGGCTGATGTTTAGGGTACCACCGATAAGACAAGGGACTCATCTTGGAGCTTGTTTCTTCAGTATTAAGTACCCAAAGAATGGTATAATGATTGAAATGTGCTATTATGAAGCAGTATATGTCAATATAATGAAGATTGCCTTATGGAGAATATTTTTTTACAGTTTTGGTGCTCTAAAATCACATTGCATGCCTTTAAAAGGTGCTCTTGCTTGCTCGTCTCTAGCTACCATGAGAATGCCGCCCGTCTGTCCCGTCTGTACCATGACCGGCCCCAGTCACCCATGGAGCGGGCCGTCTGGTGGATAGAACACGTCATCCAACATGGCGGACTGCCTCATCTCCGCGCACGCGCCGTGGAGCTACCGTGGTACCAGTATTATCTCCTGGACGTGGCTGCGTTCCTGTTGGCCGTCTGTTCAGCTATTCTTGTGCTAATCTGGTTCAGTTGTTCTCTCCTCTGTAGAAAGATTTGCCTCAAAAATGGCGGCAAACTGAAGTCTCAGTAGAAAAATCTAATCCTAAACATTGTAGCTGCCGCGCTTTCTAGCATGCACTAGGTGTTACTATGATTGTATAAATATAATTAATTTTTAAAGGATAATTAACTACCATGAGGTGTATATGGTGTGATATGTCCGTGTAAGTAGAAATAGGTGAGGAATTTAGTAAACGTTATTATCATACAACATGTACCCGTTTAAAGTTTTGTGAACTAAATGCACCATGTGCAACGTTTTGTGTCCCTAGGATCGTCTTGCATGTTCAATTTGGGGTCACCAGCGGTGATTTAAACAGAACACGTGTTCATTAACGGTTAAAAATAATAATTTGGGTTATTCCCTGTGTTAGCAAGTTTATTTACATATTTAAAACATACGTTTTTCATCCTTTAGCTCAAAGTATTTTGTTGTATATTCCTCGATGAGTTAATGTTAAGACTTTAAACATGTGAAGAAACGTACTTCCAAAAATGACCTCTCCACCTGCAAAATGGCACGGTCAAGTAGACAGGTATTATAATAAATGACTACTTCTAATTGTTATTCACCAGTTATCAGTTGCTTGGACGCTATGGTGTCATAACCAGTAGGACATGGGGTTGTCTGATTGGTTAGCGCCATCTTGTTTTATCATAAGGTACTTCGCACAAAAGCCTTATATACTGTAAATGCATGACTAACAACAGCAATAGCTTTTGTAAATAATTTGGTTTTTGGATTGATTATGGAAATAAACTGTTTGGATGACAACACCCGAACCTCTTATTACTGACATTAAAAAAACAGTTGCCACCAAGTATTCAAGACCATGCCATATCCAGGACAAAAGTTATCCTGCATTATGAAGGTCAATCACCGGGAGACCCACTTTTGGCCTTTACATTCAACATTCGTCTGCTCGAGACCTTCTTTCATACCAAATATTAACAGAGTCCAGTCAGACCTTTTGTTTCGTATGCTGACCACAAATAAGCGTATGCTGACCACAAATAAGCGTAATACTATGCTGACTACAAATAAGGCCATGTTGATTTGATTATATGGATGACATCCTCCGGGAGCCCCAAAACTGATGCGCGTGTGCGAATAAAAAAAAAGTTTTGCAAAAAAAAAAGTTCTTTTCATTATGAAATCTACGTGGTCATGAGGGTTGAGCAAATGGCACAGAATATGGTTTGGCGAATAATCTAGTCTTCAAGTTCATTTCTTTACAATTTCGTCTTTTTTCGTTTGATTTTGGCATTCTGCGACATTGGTTTTGTTTTTATTAATTTTTTTTGTAACTTATGGTATATTTTTGCTCATTTTGGAACTGTTTTGTACGATTTACAGTATGGTTGAAAACTTCTTTTTTTTTGAAACGGCCGAAAATTCATGTGCGCGCGGATGTCATCCATATAATCAAATCAACATGGCCTAAGTGTAAACAAAGTCACAGGCACACACATTGGCATACACACAGGGGAGACCAAAAACAATGCGCGGGGCGAATTGAATCCTGGGGTGCCCAATTCTACAACAAGCACAACCCCTACCGCACGGTCTGTTCAGCTGGGCGGGGGAAAACTATTATAACCCCGAGGACAGCCTGCCACAACCACGATAGACTTTATACCCGCTTGCTACATATTAAGTAATGGTTGTCTAGATAGGAATATTTTTGCATATTTATCTATTGTACTACGTGTAAATTTTATTGCCGTCTGCCCCCAATTAAGGATGTTAACATTATTTCTTGTTTTGTACTTTGGAGTAAGATTTCTTTATCTAATAGTATGTTTGTATAATGTCTGTGTTTGTGGGTCATCTACTACCAGTTTTGACTGCCTCGATGACCCGTGTACTGATGTGTGGTTAGTCTCAAATAAAGTAAAGTAAACTCACTGGGTTGTCCACCGATACAGACAGACATCAAGTGTTAGTGAAATGCTATGTGATCTCCAGTGGCCCTCACTACAAGAACGCCAGAGAAGAGCACGGCTGATTAACTTTTACAAGTACCACAATGGCTGATTATCAACTGCTGTTCGAAACCCACCCCCAGCAGATCAAAACCAACGCACCTCACCCACTCTAGCTCTGCGGCATACCAGCTGCCTAAATGTAGGACTCTGTATAGAGAAAGATCCTTTTTCCCACGTACCATCAGCAACTTGCCCGCTGAAACTGCCCTCAGCAACAACTTCAAGGGCTTTAAGTCCAAATTGTAAACCCCTGAAACCCCCACTTCCTACATATCACTCCACCCTCCTTACGCAGTATACATGTACCTGACATGGCGACATAATATTCGGCAAGTCGAAGGCGGTCACCCTACGGAAAGCAGAAGAAGAAGAAGTCTTCTTACCACAGTCGGTCTCATCTGATCCGTCCGAACAGTCCTGTTGACCGTCACACACGTTCTTCATGTGGACACAGCCGGACAAGTCCAGACACTGGAGAACGTCTCGTTTCAGAAACTCGTAACGGCGGGAATAATCCGAGCAGCTGTCTGCAGGAGAAACGCGGCGAGTTACAAAATAATAAATGTGCCTTTATTTACTAGTACTATCTTCCTCTATTAAAGCACCACAACTAGCTCTTAATATTCTAAAATATATCATACAACAGTCTTTTAAACACCATAACATAACGATTTTGCTTAAATTATAATTTTAAGTATTCAGTCGCTGTAATTATAATATCCTTTGGAGCTCTAGAATTACATGTTTTTTAACAATAAACGATTTTCAAATAAGTGCATAACTTGACATGGCAAGAAAGGCATTGGTTGTCTATTCCTTAAATAAGACTGGTTTTGATTCTGAATCTATGGTGCAAAATTTCTCCAGGGGACAAGGTGGTCGAGTCATGCCATGAATTCGAACTCTCGGTTGTGGGAGCACGTTGGCAGAACGTACTATACAGAACCCTGCATTTTCACGGTTTTCAGTGGATTTTTGGTCAACGTTGCATTAGAATTTTTTTCTGTTGCATAGGATATATTTTCCGACATAACAGTTGGAAACTACAGACGAGATTATTTTCTTATATGCGTGAATAAAACCTTATATGAGACGTTATCCCAAAGTGCAATGCATAACACATTACGGGTTTCGTGCAGGTGCAGTGCGTTCTGCTGACGTGCTGGTTTTGGGCAAAACACCCGAACCGTCACACGATGAGATGTCTTACTTTAATAAGCCACGATGTCAAAGAAAAGGTTTAAAAAAAAATGATACATACCAAAACAGTTGTGCTCGTCCACTTTGCTCTGTCCACAGTTACGTTCCCCGTCGCACACACGGCTGGGGCTGTAGCAGCCGACATCTCCCCCGCACAGCCGCCGGTGTTTTTCCGGGCAGGCTGCAAACCCTGGACGGAAAGGGATATTATTGTGGCTTTACCACCCGAAGAAGTTATGTCAATGTGACAATCAATAAACATAATATATTCAAATCGTAACCTTATTTGCATTATTAATGAGTAAGTGCTAGAATAGCCTTCTTTGCAAAGATAGGGCAACTATTACTTTATAATCAATAAGAGAATGTTTACTTTCGTCAGTCAGAGCGTTTAACATCAGTTGGCGAAGGACTGGAACTTTCTAAAACTTAATTGTTTATGGAAAAGTTATTTAATGAGAGGTGTCCCGGTAAGAGTTCATTATTTTTTTTTCTGTTGGGTAAGGAGGTGTGGTAAAGCCATTTGCTGCATTTGCTCCCTATCAAGTGTCAGCCTTTCTAGTTAGTTATTGTTTATTGAGAAATCAAAGCTCTTCGAAATGGCAATATACCGTGTATAACCTTTTAGACGAAATAGAAACTTAAAATTAAATTGTGTTCTGCAGCTAAGACACGAGCTAGATTGTTCTGAAAGAGCTAGATTGTTCTTAAAAAATTAGCCGACAAAATGTTGAATATGCAATCTATGACATATTCAAGCCAGCCTGAGTACCTGGCGAAGTCTAGAACAGGCATATCATTGGTGTCCAAAAAAATGGCCGTGTTGCCCTTGACCCCCTCCCAAGTTCAAAGTACCCCCTTATTATAATGAGCTGGCCCTTTATACTGATGAAGCTATCATTGAAGAAATTTAAAATCCTTACAACAGTTCCGCTCGTCCGTGTCGTCCCCATCCCCACAATCCACCACACCGTCACACACACTGCATTCTGGGATACATCTGCCGCTCTGAGGACAAATGACCTCGTCCTCTGCGCACAGACGATTTTCTAAAACAATGCAGAAAAAAATCTAAATAAAATCAGTAATATCTGAGGGCACAGAAAATAACTTTGTCTTCTAATTCAATTGGCCATCAAAAAGTCATCTTATAGTGGGGTCGTGTGTTGCAGAGGCAGCTTGCTCGACTCGAAACCAAGAGCTCCCGGGTTCGAGTCTTGACATGCCACCGATCTTGTGCCCTTGGGAAAGGCAGTTTACACTACTTTCCTATTTTAACCTAAGAGAAAATGAGTATTGTCCTGTTCTGGATTCGTCTTCTGCATTGATGGCGGCATAAAATAAGTTGATATAACTTGTCTAGTCATGAAATGTCGGAATATAAAAAAAGCCATCTTATAGTTTTGTGACTGCAGGCATGCGCATGTGCAGTTGCGTAATTTGAGGTCAAATTGACGGTAGCTACAACCCCTTGCGGTGCTGGCGGTATGAGATCACTTATCATATATACTTCTTATTTTTTTGTAATAAATACATGGCCTTTTAGTTTCGATGAAAATTATAAAAAGGTGGTCTGATAAGTCAATGCAGTCACAACAATATAACGGACCACGTTTCAGGTGTAAAGTGAGTTATTAAAGTGAAGAAAGTATTCCCAATGCCACAAGATCAGTGACATTGTAGAATTAGAACTCGAAAGTGCAGCTCCTGTTCAGAATTACCTTTTTGAATAGCGGAGCACATCGAATGACCCTTCAGGCCTACTTGACACACTTCCCCGTTGACAGAGCCCGGTAGAACTTTCACGGCCGCCCGGTGTGAGGAATCAACACCCCAGACAACACCGTCTCCGACTGCGACCTGTGTATGTTTGTAAGGAAAATCAATTGGTAAATAGGAAGGTGGGGACGTGTAGCGTAGTAGCAGAGTGCTCGACTCAGAACCAAGAGGTTCCTGGTACGAGTCCTGACATGACATGCCGCCGATATTTTGCCCTTGAGAAACTCATTTTACACTACTTTCTTCACGTCACCCAGGTGAAAATGAATATTGTATTGTCCCCTGTGTTGGTGGCGGCATTAAGATGAGTTGAAAAAACTTGAGTGTACCGTCACCACGTCTTGTGATTAGATGTTCGAATATGAATAAAATGAAAAGGTAATATTTGAAAGCAAATGCTTATTGTTTACCTTCACCTGGTCTACCAAAACAAATTTCAAATCTGCTTTGTTTAGTCTTGGTAAAAGCTGTGATATGCACTCATTCCGAAATATTATTGACATGTCTACTAGGCTTCCTGGATTCATTTACATCTTATACTAGTACTTTTTGCACGGCAATTGCACATGGTACAATGTATGGCAAACTACATAAAGAGAGTAACAAACAATAAAATATGTAGAATAACACCTGATAACATATCTTAATTATTGAAACAACACGATATATATATATATCATAAATTACATACTTTTTACTACAATCACGTACAACGAAAACTTAAATAACACTTAATCACCAATACCAAACCAAAACTCATGCGTATGATTGTAAAAGGTGGTAAAAAACTAATACAATGATTTTAATAAGCGTAAACATAAGCCTACCTGCTGCAGGGTTATCCCCGGTACGTGCACCCAAGCTTCACCTCGGGACGTTTCGTTGAAAAATGTCCCGACTCTATGATAGACTTCCCCTTCTGTGTTAACTTAACTATCCAAACCCCTGCACGGCCCACAGACACAGACACGGCACAGCCTTCCATGGCTTCCCAGTCACTTTTAACTACATGGAAATAAAGAAATAACAACTTTAACTACACATATGAATAGAAAAATTTCTTTGATCACAAGCATTTATTTTTCACGAGCCAAAATAAAATGAATGGTTGTGAAAAATAAAATGTTGTGATGAAAGATGCGCTATTCATTCGTTAACCAACCTAATAAAATTTACGCGGATACAATTGATATATTTTCAGATATATTGTTTTCCTCTACTTTTGAAAGTCTAACAAGGTACTGCTATGTTTATTCTTAATCAAGCACATTGAATTATACATGGTGGCCAACCCCTTCAGACCTGTCCTGCTACTTGCAACATAATGCATATCAACACCAGTCAATTTCATACATCTTGCATTACCTTTAATATGTCTAGTTTTGCTGCCAGCGGAACAGCTAATGTACTGATTATGAATCATTATAATTTTTGGCGGTTGCCTACGGATTACGAGGCCTCAAAAAATCTTATTAAGGCCTACGAAAAAGGGCATGCAGCCCCCCCCCCCCCACCACAAGAACTTAAAAGAAACTCTAACGTCATTTTCGTACCGGATATTTCGCAGTAGAACGGTGAACGCCAAACCTTGCCACTGAGTTCCACTGCCCACAGCTGACCGGTTCTGGAGCTGACGCTGACTTCCTTCATATTTGTTGCCCCGACAACCTGCCACGATTTCCCCTCAGGAGTTTTTGAGTCGATACCTTTGAAGATAAAGTTGAGATGTCAACATACTATTAGCCAAACTGACTTAATTTATTGATCAATGCAAAAAAAATCGGCATAGGAATACAAAGCTGGTATTGTGAATTTGCGGTAGTACATGGTGACCTTTACGACAAGCCGGGACATATACCGGCATGTTACGGCTTTTATGAGTCTGCACTGAGTTCTTGAGTTGTGGAGCTTCAGTAGCCTGGGTGCCGTCCTCCGTAGTTACCACCGGCTCCCTATTTTTGCTAGCTACCATGGACTATGGAGGATGGCACCCAGGCCTCGGCCTCGGAGGAGTTGGTGGTTTTTGAGAACTGACGATGCGCGCGTGGATGTTATCCATAAAATTTAACACGGAATTAAATCAGTCAGGCCTAAATATAAAATGAACAAGACTACTTTCTGAGAGGGTTAAAAAAAGTAGTTATTCTTTAGGGCCAAAGCACCCATCACTCAACTGCGGGGGCCAACATTGTTAACCAGATACATTTCACCCAGTGTAACACTTTAGAGAAGCCACGTGACAAGTTTCACTGGGTCAGTATACTGAGGATGAAGACCAGAGTGACCAAGCTCTAGGTTACATTTAACCTTTTGTGTTGGAAAGAAAGTTTTGCTTAAACTATTACATGCATTCCCAGGATAACCTGAACGAAAACATAGTTTTCTACCCCTTTAAAGGCTTAGAAACGGTTAATGGATATGTACCTTACTGTTTACTGTTGCTGCTTAACAAATACGTAAACATATCAAAGTATCTAGATCTTAAAAATACATAAAGTGACACGTCAAACTCAATATATTGATTTATTTATATAATTGCATATAGGTCAGTTCTTACGTGTATGTTAGTGTGTACGTGTCTGTGTGTATGTTATTATAGGCCTTCAAAATTTTGTTGTGTGTGTCACGTCAATAAATTAATATTATGTCAAAATTTCTTTCAGTATGTCGTATATATATGTGATCCTTAACATAGCTTAAACCTAAATATTAAAATACCTTTTCTGACTATGGTGAATCCATGGCTGAATTTAGGAAAACTTCCGATGACCCAAAGGAAGTCTTTTCCCGAATGTATCCAGTCGATGTTATGGCCAGCCCAGACATAATCCACTAGTTGTGCTTCGAAGTTGAAAAGGCTGGAATAGGCAGTCGTGATATGAACGGCCTTCCACTTTGTCCCTGCTGTCATCTTGTTACTGTAAAAAAATATTTTCACTTGTAAAAGAAAAACGGCTCAATGTGCAGATGTTGTCACATCGTCGCACCAAATCCGTAAGGTGTTTTTGGCACCCAGACAGACAGATTAGCCTAAGAAGCTCCGTGGGCGTCACTCCACTGTATAGGTGGGGAAGTCGTGTAAAGTGCCTTTCCCAAGGGCACAACGTCTGGCCACCGTGAGTATCGACCTCTCGGTTCCGAGTCCAACGCTCTAACCGTTGCGCCATTGGCGCCACCGACGCCACTTGTAAAACAACCCCAAAATGCCGCAATATACACGACCTCACAGTGCCGAGTGCGTAGGTATAGTGTTCTGTAGCTTTGTAAAGTTTCCTGTAGTTTTCGTTGTATCTATACTATATATAGATGACGACTAATTTCGAGATTGATTAACGAAATCCAATGCAGTTTTTTTAGGGCTTGGAAACCCGATTTTTCAAAACCAATTTTTAGTCATTTAGCTACATACCTGAAACCACATTGTTCCAGACTATATTGACCCTAATGGTGCAATAATTTTCCAAAATCCTGACCAAAAATAAACAGTTATTGGAAGGGCTCTGAGCTGATTTTAAGGGTACCACCTTTTTGGGGGTCTTGTTTCTGAAGTATTTAAGTATAAAATGCTGACGCAAATGTGGAATGTGTCAGCAATATCACAAATATTGCCTTTTTCAGAGTAATTCCAGTTTTGCTGCCCTAGAATCGCATCGGGTGCCTTTTAGTAACTAATCAATTAATTCAGTATTCGTAATGTCCTAACCTGAATGTCCCCACACGGTACATGACAGTAGAGTGGTTATAGACCGCCCACACCCCAACACGTCCTACGGAGATGTGCAGAAACTTATCCGTGCCGACAACTTCCCATCCAGTTCCTGTAGAACACCTGAATGAATGAACTTTTTTGCTCAATTTCCTCTTTTCTAACTTTTAAAAATACCCTGAAAGCACATCTTATAAACCACCCCAGCCCCTTGTATTAGATTCATATCTTCAGTTATTATTTTTTTTTATGTACACAATTGTTTCATTATTGTTATTGTTTATTTTGCCTATGTTTGAATTATTATGATAACAATTCCTTATGTATGTATGTATTATCTCATATCAATTTCATTTCATCTCAAATTATGTATACTACTGTTTCAATATTGTTATTGTATCATTTTGCCCATGTTCGAACTATTTTGATAACAATTCCTTTTGTATGTATGCCTTATTTCAATTCAATTATGTTTACTTTTGGTAAGTATAGAAGAGGAGGGCTTGGCGTAAGCTAAATAAGCTTTTTCCCTCCTCCTGCACCTGTTTTATTCATCATTAATTTATTATGTATATTTTTTTCTTGCTGCTGTGCAAATAATAAACAAACAAACAAACGTTTTGGTCGACAATCGAACATGGTACGATGTGTGGCAGTAGGACAATAATGCTACAAAACTAAACTATCTTGCTGCAAATTACTATCAATTCAATCTCTCTCTCTCTTTCCTCCGCCGCATGTCAGCTGCTGCTGAGGCGGACCATCATTGCCTCCCATCTGCCCCTGTCTTGTGCCGCTCGTTGCGCCCCCTCACATCCGCAACCGATACAATGTAATAGATATAATATGGTGCTGTATTGATGATTTGATCTCGCTTATGAAATGAAATATAGAGAAATTAAGCTAATATTATGTAGGAAGATATGGGAGTTGGACATCACAACAATTTTTAAAAAGTATCGTACTGTGAACCAGATAGGGTGAGCTTTGAGTAGTCCCTTCTTTACTAAACACGATATTTCAACAAGAATTCTGAGACCGATATGTTATTTTTCTAGACTTTTTGGGAGTTGAGAATGTCATCATACTAAGAAAAATGTCCCCATTTGCCTGGACAACTATATTAATAATAATAATGGTTTATTCGTCATTCAACACTTGTACAGAAAGGCAGGCTCCATTAAATGGAACCTGAATTGTTCTGACAATTACATCGGATTAATTAATAAAAGGTTAGCACACATTAAAATCATTATACGTCATTGATTATTAATATGAGATAAGTTAAAAGGTCATATACTATATAAGGTCAACTACAGATACTACTTAACCCTACCTAGACCGGGGGGGGGGCTAAAAGTGCCCGCGGCAACTTTGATGTCACCTAGCGTCTGAACGGCTAGCCGTAAAACGACCAAACTTGGTGACTTTTCCTAAAATATTGTTGGCAACAATTTTCTATCATTGGAATAAGATAATAATTTTTTGTGTTGCCATGGCAACGGGTTTCTGACAGGCATTTTTTGCTAAATTTAGTACTTTTTGTTTCAACAATAGAATTTTATGGGTTTTATGTCAAGTTACTCATGGTTTCTAATATTAATAACATCCCATATAATTTTATGTAAATTTTATCATTAAATATGCATAATTTATGCTAATTTGATGACGTCATTGGCCAAAATCCAAGATGGCGGACCATATCATTAGAACAGGTATATACGGGTTATTTTCATTAAAATTTCATCAATACTTCCATTTCTTTTGACAAAAAAGGTTTGAATGAAGGTGTTTAGTACGTTTACAATGTATTTTAGGCTTTATCATGAAAAAAAACTATTTTTGAAAATTCAAGATTGATGATCCAAGATGGCGGATATCTTAAATATGCATGACGTCATTTTATGACGTCACCGGTGTTGCTATGGGCAACATAAGACTTAGTACACACTAATATTCTGTCATAAACACTTTTGGTAAAGTTATGTTGTATACCAGGGAGGTTTTCAGGGAAAAACCTATTTAGACGGTTTTGGCCAATAAAATCACATTAATGACGTCATAATGACGTCATATTACGTCATAACGACATAAAAATTGTAGATATGATAA